ATCACCAAGTACCAAGCACCAAGTTCCGGGCACCGAGTGCCAAGTACCGAGTTCTGGGCATTGAGTACTGAGTGCCGAAACCCAGCACTCGGCACTCGGTACTCGATACCCAGAACTTGGTACTCGTGCTGAATATATTGGTAGATCTTAACCTATTGATGTCATGAGACTATGGATAGACTCCCCTAGACAAGGGCTACAACTTTGGTTTTCATCGAAAAAGTTCCCACGGTCTACAATATTGAGTACCGAGCACCGAGCTCTGAATACTCGGTACTTGGTACCTACTTGATACTCAGACCTTGGTACTCAGTATACAATGCTGAATCTCTTGGTACTCAACTGAGCACTGAGTACTGACTACTGAGCATTTAGTATATTGAGTATTGAGTATTGAGTACCGAACATTAAGTACTGAATATTGAGTACCGAGCACCGAGCACTGAATACTCAGTACTCGGTACCTACTCAATACTCAATACTTGGTACTCAGTACTTGATACTCGATGCTCAGTACCTACTCAATACTCAATACTTGGTACTTGGTACTTGATGCTCAATGCTGAATATCTTGGTACTCACCTGAGCACTAAGCACTGAGTACTGACTACCAAGTATTTAGTATTTAGTATCAAGTACCGAGTATTGAGTACCAAGCACCAAGCACTGAATACTTGGCACTCAGTACCTACCTGATACTCAACACTCAGTACTCAGTAATTGGTACCTACTCAATACTCAATACTCAATACTCTGTACTCAGCACTGAGCACTGAGCACTGAGTTCTGACTACCAAGTATTGAGTACTGAGTATCAAGTACTGAGCACTGAGCACTGAATACTTGGTACTCGGTACCTACTTGATACTCAAGTACCTGTATAGTGTACCCTCCCTCAGATACATCATATCACTGGACCAGGACACCTACATGATCCTTCTACAGCAACAAAAATTGATAAATCATGTGTTTCACATTTCTCATGTTTTTGATTGTTCTATCCTTGCATAAATAATCCAATATATTCATATATCATTAGCATAGCATATATACTTGCTTTTCATGACCAGGATCAGCTCAAAATATGCTGTTGCTTTGAGATGGTGTATATACTTGATATTTCTACTGATAAAAGGCCCATATCTCTGAATTATTGAACTTTAATGATCAGACACCTAGAGTATATTTCACATATATTCAGTATGATGGATCTAAAATTACAGAAAGATCCACCAGGAATTGAGAGCTGGGGAAGTGAAACAGATAAGAAATCGAGTGTGGGAAACGTCAAAGCTCAAATGCCCCAAACATCGAAAATGGTCAGTTGGTGTATCCTTGGCTATGGGCAACCAATTCAAACACTTCTATGCCACATCCCTCCCACCAACACTCTACCCTCAGGGCAGTATGCAGTATAGGTTCCTTAGGTAGTCCACCATGTATCCTACACATTTTTAATGAAATCTTCAACCTGTATCATATATAAATGTGACTTTGTGTGAACAGATGTCAATTGTCACTTTTCACACATATATTGTTTTGCTTGTCATTCACTCAATCCTGGATGGATCTTTCTAAGCCTTTAAGGCTATCATTTACCATGTGGGCTTTTGATCAGTAGAAATATCCCCTTTACATCAGATCTCAAATTTCCGGCCTAAATATCACTGATCCTTAGCATAATAAATGTAATAATGACAGTCTATGAGTGACTTGGATAATCTGTGTAAGGGTAGGGTGGTAAAACATATCAAAATGTCACAATTGTAATTTGTCAAGTGTTGTTCCTATGGAAGGATCATGTAGGTGTCCTGGTCTATCTATATGATGTATCTACTACCAATATTCATAGAAATAGACCCCATACCTGGGTGCTTGGTGCTTAGTGCTTGGTGCTCAGTAGTGGGTACTCAGTGTGCTCAGTGCTTAGTTGAGTACCAAGATATTCAGCATTGAGTATCAAGTACTGGGAACTGAGTACCAAGTACCAAGTTTTGAGTATCGAGTAGGTACTGAGTACCGAGTATTCGGTGCTTGGTGCTCGGTATTCAATTTTATAGACCGTGGGAACTTCTTCGATGAAAATCAAAGTTGTAGCCCATGTCAAGGGGAGTCTATCCATAGTCTCATGACATCAATAGGTTAAGATCCTAGTGAGGTATAAGCAAAATACTCGAAAATGAAGGGTTCAAAAGTGTTAAGGTACATATTGAGTAGTGAGTAGGTACCAAGATATTCAGCATCGAGTATCAAGTACTGAGTACCAAGTATTGAGTATTGAGTAGGTACCGAGCATCGAGTATCAAGTACCGAGTCCTGAGTATTCACACCTGAGACACGGCCAAATAAGAGTTTGCGACAGATCCCATTCAAATCGAGGAACAAATTGTTGATATTTAAAAGGATATGGTTTGCCTCAAGATCCATGATCAAAGCTAGGAAATGTCCAGAATCCGTGTTGACCCCAGATTTATAATCAAATGAGGAATACGCAAGCACAAAAAATGCTGAATTTTTCAGTATTGATGTGCCTTATTGGTATATTTATAATCAGATAATAAAAATGATTGGTATGTGTTGACTACACAAATTCAGATACAAATTATAGACGTGCCACATGATCAAATATGTGATAAATTTAAACTATGTATTAGATCGGGCGAGGGAACAGAGTGCGGCTGTGTTGGGCGGTCAGAGGGCGGAAAAATTACGAATATGTACATGAATATGCCTAAGAGTCAGCCTCTGACAACAACCCTAAAAATGTGTGTGTGTCATATGAGTGCCCCGCTAAGGGCTCACTTAGTGGGGCACTTAGCGGGGCACTCATTAAATGAAGTGGGCCGCTTAAGGGGAACTACAAAATACAAGGACATAGAAATGGCCGCTTAAGAGGAACTACAAAAAAATACAAGGTCATAAGGACAACGAAAATACAAGAAGCCATGGACAACAACAGAGTTACCGTTCACTACAAATACCCACTTACATCGTTCATACATTCAAGTTTGTTCTACAAGATTTCCGCGCAAGATAAACGATGGCAAAGCAACGGCTGAAGATAGGGGTGTGTTGAATATCGTGATTTGATGCTTACATCGAGTTTACTTTTGGAGGGAATAGAACGACGAGGACCTCGCCAGGAGCATCTTCAAATTAACATTGGAAGACAGGACTGAAGACGGGCGGGTTGAGAGCCGACACACGCCGAATGATATCTCTAGGGTTGCAAGGGAGCGTTCAGCGGAAATACACGAAGACGCATCAGATGATTACCGCAAGCTTTTCCTCCTCGACATCAATATGCATGCTCATCTTCGAACTGTAACTGACGCTGTAAATCACCTTCACTCGGCTGATGAGCAACAAGTACTGGCGATGCTTACCGGAGAGTATGAAACAATGTCTAATATGCAGGAAGAAGTTAGACGCATGCAAGTTAATGGCGATACTTGTAATGAGGAGTTTTGGCACGCGATTCTTGGAACTGTGGAGGAGATGAGAGATGCGGTGAAGAGCATCATGGACGTCATCACTCGTAGAGCAATCAATGATGATTTGAATAGTGCAGAAATCGTCGACACGGGTGAGACATAGTCGTTAAGCAGGAATTCCTACACTACTGAATCACAAATAGGTCCCTGGTTCAAACAAAAATACCACAATGCCAATCCCACCATACTCCTCACCATGCTCATTGCCATAATCTTGAATGTCTTCGGACATGTTACTCGTCCATGGTGCAATGCAGTCCTCGGCCTTTTGAATCTCCTCCTCGAGACTACACTCGGAAAGTTGACCTGTCCCACCATCCCCTCCGACATCCGTACGATCCGTAAAAAAATTGATTTGGACCCGATTACTCGAATATTTGCCACTTGTACAAGATGTTCCTGCACATACCCACCCATGCCTACAAGAAAAAAATCACCGTACCCCGAACGCTGCACTTATCAGAAGTACCGAGGTAGCAAGCCATGTGGTCAGTTGATGGTCAAATGTAGGAAGGGCGAAGGCGGAAAAACATGGATGCCGGTGCGCCTGTATGTTGTTCAAGACTTCAATGCATTCCTTGCCGGAATGTTAAGTCAGCCTGGTATAGAAGAAGCCATGGACCGTGGAACGATGATGAACGAGAAGTATTGCATGTGGGATATTAAGGATGGCACTGCGATGCAGGAGATCTCTGGCACTGACGGAAAACCATTCATGGATGGGCTGAAGAGACAGGACCTCAGATTAGCATGGAGTCTTTCGGTGGACTGGTTTAACCCTCATGGAAATAAGACCTCTGGCAAGAAAAAATCGGTCGGGTCAATCGTGATGGGACTACTGAACCTGCCGCCCAGTCTCCAATACAAACCAGAAAATATGTACTTGGTCAGCGTTATCCCTGGACCCAGAGAACCAGCTCTCGATGAAATAAATCATTTTCTTCGACCTGTAGTTGACTTTTTCGTACCGTCATGGAAAGACGGGACGAAATTCACGAGGACATCTCAACATGCCGAAGGGAGACTTTCGAGGTCTGTCATTGCAGTGGCAATCAATGATTTACCAGCTGCTCGCAAACTCGCAGGACGTGCGGGGCCCACTGCAAATCAAATGTGTGGACTTTGCTGGCAGACAAAGTCAGAGATTGGAAACTTTGACTACGATACATGGAGACGATGTACGTGCAGGGAACATAGGGCAGCTGCAGAAGAATGGAAAAGTGCAGAGACGAAGTCAGAACGCGACAAAGTATTCAAACGACACGGAGTGAGGTGGTCCGAGCTTCTACAACTGCCTTACTGGGATCCAGTAAGATTCGTTGTTGTAGATGGCATGCACAACCTCTTCCTCGGGTTGGTGCAACATCATTTCAGAGAGTTGATTACCATAGACAAACAGGCGAGCAAGACAATCAGGGTGATCAGGAAGCCAGATAAAGATCTTTGGATCTAGAGGAATTAGATAGGGGCAGAACATTCTTGCAATCGAACCCCACCATCTCCACAATGACCCGCTTACGGGTGCCTGTCCTAGAAGCTCTGATCCAAGAGGCAGGGGTAATATTGTCGGACGGTGGTAAACGCAGCACGAAACTGAAGATGGCCGAAGCTTTGCTGGTGCGCTGCCCATTTCATTGTCATTATCCCCATTGACAACTTGATAGGCCGAACCCATTCACTGTGCCCCAATGAACGAGGAGGATCGGATGCAAATAGATGATGGTGCATTCATCACGGAGGAATTAGTAAAGCAGTGTGCAGCCGAAGTAGAAGGGAAAAACGACCAGAAAGGCATATCTGGCGAAGTCCTCACAGACGTAGAGATCAACCAAATTCAGGCAGAACTGCGCAGCATCGAGCGACCTTCGTGGCACCACGGACCACCGAAGAACCTGGGGGAAGCAGACCACGGTAAGCTCAAGGCAGAGCAATGGCGGTCTGCAATCGAATTCGACTTACCAGTGACTCTCGCAAAACTCTGGGGGACGGATCATACGAAGCCTGGTGATGAAAATGGAAAACAGAGGCAGAAGTTAGCTCATAGCACAATGCTGCTGGCGATGGCAATCCGATGGGGAACATCACATGTAACATCGGCGCACCATGCTCAGCAATACGCTATATACATGAAGGCGTACCTAGAGTGCATCCGAGACATTTTTCCAAGCCATTCTTTCCGCCCTAACCACCACGCCTGTCTCCACCTTCATGAGTTTCTTCTAAGATACGGACCTATGCACAGCTGGTGGATGTTTCCCTTTGAGAGGATCATCGGAGGCCTGCAGAAAACCAATACGAACTACAAGATTGGTGAGCACGAATGGAAAAACGGGGGAAACATATTGAATAGTGTTCTTCAGGGGAGCTAGAAAAAACTATGTTAGAGTCATTCTGTGCAGCTGCACGCGTCAAGGCAATGCTTCAAGAACCTGGCGCACCTGATGTTCTCAACAAAGCAGCTGACATCCTGCAGCGATGCTGCGCTCCATTCGCAGAAGGAGAATTTCGTACAGACACTGGTATCCTGCACGCAGCAATAGAACCAATTCCATATGTCTCGCATGTCGAAGCAAATATCATCAAGACCCCTATTTCAGCGGTCGTCCGACACACATGGGAAAAGGCAAGGACTCAACTGCATGGAAACGACCACATCATCACCGAGTATAAATGGCTGAACATAGCAGGATTGCAATATTGCAGCCGCAACTATTCACAGGCGGATAGTTGTGTGTTCTTCAAGAACACATCAGCTAAATTTGTACCAGGTGTTATTGAACACATGTTTTCTGTGGAGGAGGATGACGAGCGGGTTTACTACATCACGGTCAGATGTTACTTACCTGTAGCTGCGGGGTACAAAGACCCCTTTCTAGGCTACAGCGACTTCGGTGCACAGATATGGAGCTGCACTTTTAACAGCCAGCTTGATATTGTACCGGTATGTAGGAGTAAAATTTGCCACGCTATTTCGATGCCTTGGGGAACTGAATTGGTCCTAAAGGCAATGAACAGGGTGAATTCTCTGCAATTATAGAAGTCTTACTCCAGTACTAACCTCCTACCCTGTAGGACTTTGGTGCATGACTGGTTGTCATCAGAGGTGGCAGATTGCGCTGGTTTAGGGATAGTGTAAAGGATTGTAAATGATTGTAGACCTGATAGTACATATTGTAAATGTCGAGTGTATACGTTTACGAAGCCCCAATGACACGTGTCACACTGCCTTGAAGTAATAGGAAAAGTTCTGATAATGTGCCTGACTGGAGAGCGTGCATTACCATGTTCACAACCACACAGATAATGGCAAACCAAAGCAGCTGGGAGGTAGTTGAAGATCTCGTTGAGGGTGAGGTATGCGTCTCATTGTCCTCCGTCGAGGTCTATAGTAAGTTATGAGATATCACCTCAATAAATATTGAACATCATGTACCAATTCACCCTCCGCCCACACCTTCACGCTACTGTGTCCATTAAAGCAGCTGCTGGTAACAACGGTGCACCCAGTGCGCCCTTCGTGTGACTACCCCATGTTAGAGAGAGAGAAATACATGCTAGAACTGTACTTACCGCTACAGGTATAATCTGATCGCCCTGATTGCCGTGCTCCAACTGACCTCGGTATACACCAGTACTATAATGAAATATGCAAGCAAAACCATCATCCCCCCTGATGAAAATGAGCCCTGCTTGTCGAGCAACGGATATTTGCAAAGGCACATTGCGCAGGATCACATGGCTGTAAGACTGGACGCGTTGGAGGGTAGGCACAGAATATTTGTCTACCCCGTCTTTAAGATTGCTTACAAGGAGGAAATTGCCCTCCAGGATGGTATTCCCACTACATCGTAAGAGTCAATGATGTGTGCACGGAGTGCACGCCCAACTTACATCCTTCCCTGGACTTTCTTGCGCCATTTTAAATCCCAGGGTTCAATGGAATAGCAGAAACTAGAGTCACGGTCAGAATAAAATCAAAATTGTTGCGGTACACGTACATTTCACCGCTTTCCAGAAACGATACTAGTAGCGAAGCACCGTTGTCATAGAAGTGTACCGTGCGCGCCACGTACGGCTGCTTCTCGAGCTTCGAGGTGATGGAAATGAGGGTTTCTAACACAAAGTCAATACAGCACAAGTACTGATTTGACAACGTACTGTCTGGTGTGAAGTTCCAAACGTGGGGCCGACCATCACCAGCACTCGCCAGTCGATGATGGACGGGATCCCAAGCAAGCAACTCTACCAGACCCGAGTGACCGATGGTAGTACTGCAAAATTCGAAAAGTGCCTAACAAGATGGAGCATTATCAGTGACCTAAAGACGCTACTACCATTACCATCACACCTACATCATCGATTCTTTCATAGATTTGGACATTGCCATCCGATGCCCCGAATGCAAAGGTCGTCTCTCCACGATCGCCCATATCAATCCAAGTGATTGCACTAATATATCCTGCAGCTGGTGAAATGATTTCTTGAATCATTTCACCGGATGTCAGGTTCCATACCACAACTCTACTATCATTGCCTGTCTCAGCTGTGAGCATGAGCGAGCAAAGAAATCGGATGTTTAAATACCTCCAGTAAGGAGCAATGCTCCATGCATACTCACAGCCAATACATTGACTGCCTTGGTGTGGCGAGTAAGAGTAAATTTGTTGGCAAACTAAATTGGCGTCAGCGAACATAGAGCTCCACTGGACTTTACCACTTACATCCATGATTGACTTTGAGATACCTGCAAAAAGCCGTCCGTATTTAACCTGGTAGAATTGGCATTGAGATAAATTTGTTGACAAAAGACTTGCAAGAAAAGCACCGGAATACAACACTGACAATTGTACGCATGGAAAAGGCAAAATACTTGTATGAAAAGCACCAGAATGCAACGCCGACAATCGATCAATTGGATGGATGGAGAAATGGACGGATGAAGACACGAAGACAAGCAATGGAGACAAAGCGGAGGTGTGTGCATCGATGAGGTATGGTTACCATATTGAATAAGATCAAGTGTAACCTCTATTGTGATTGCGAAATGAAGAGAATCGGGCATACTTTAAATTCACAAAATCAGTCGATTGCATCACAAGTCATGGCATCCAAATTACCTTCTCGCAGGATCAGCACTATCAAAACACGATTCAATCCGTATGGCAGACCGTCAGCACACACGCTGAGGGGAAATTTGCAGGCGTACGAGATACAGGAACTGCAATGGGGAATAAATGCCTCGTTGATGTCCTATGAGCGTGAACTTCAGTGAAGCTCAGACGACGTGAGTGCAGCACTTACGTATAATTGGGTATTGAACATTTTCAGGACGTGTATATGGGATGCGCTATGGATCTTGACCTGCCCATCAGTGCAGGTAATGGGACATACGGTTGCGCGGACACCTTTATGGCAGATGACGAAGTAATTAGTTTCACTCGTCACCAACAAAAGCCAAAACTTACTTTATTTCAAAGGTTGGACCCTTCGCCATTGTTCCGGTAACTTATCACTCCAGTTACCAGACGCCCAAGAAAAGAAACCTTATACACGGCCTGCACAAAGGCATGAACAAGTACATGGACCGTCACTGTAAAAGGAAGCATCCTGTTACTGAACGGTTATGGGAGCGCATGTACATAGCGCTCCACACTGCAATGGTGGGCGTTGATGTCGAGGACATTGTGCTGCCTGAAGTGCGTTATAACAGAGAACAGACCACTGAGGTGGAAAAACAAATCATAATGCAGACCATTCATTCTACGCCGATCAGTGTGAATGACACTGCCATAGGAGCTTTCAACGGACTATCTTATCTCACCTGCTATAGCACAACGAATTTTGGATGGAGTCGAAAATTTCATCCCTAATGTGAAATGTGGGTTGCAGTCCCTCGGGGCTGCGCTAAGCACCAAACTATCAGCTCCAGTGCGTGACCAACTTACAGGTAAGTTAACATACCTTCTGCACACTTTTCAAGTCCCTTCTGACGAAGATTAGGATATCCCGCCACAATGCCAGGGGACTTTGCAGAAAGTTGATAGAAATATTGAACGAATGTAAAATTAGTGGCCCATATTGTAAACTCGAACTCACTATATTGAGCGATGGGGCACAGGTACCATCACATTTTGCTGAGTGTTAATGCGTTGGAAATTGATTTTAAGCATGTTTGTCTTTATCTTTGGGGCACACACGCCTAAATCTACCACATGTACATCATATTGTAAGTATAAACGAATTACCACACGCAAAGGAACGTGAAAGCAAGAGGCAAGAATTGAAGAAGATTTTGAACTTTAGTAGTGAACGGGGACAAATGAGACTCTGACGGAAATACCCGAAAGTGGCTGAGTGGGTACTGGCAATGAACAGGGACAAATGAGACTCCGATGGGAATACCTGAAAGTGGCTTAGTGGGTATAGACGAGTTAGACAGATTACCAACCTCGGCGTTCGCCAGCGGAGTCTGATTATCCCACTCACTACATAAGGTTCCAAACCTTCAATATAGCGGCTTCTCTTCTCCCATCTGTCTACATCACTTGATTAGATTTGTATAGGCTTTTCGTCATTGTGTTATAGTGTAGATTAGAAGATTTTGCATTGGCTTTTGCGTGTAGTATAGTCTAGACTTCTCATTGTTATTTTGAATCGGGTTTTGCGTTGGTATCGCAACATAGTCTAGACTTCTCATTGTTATCGTGTTATAGTGTAGTCTAGACTTGTGATTTCAGATTTTGCGCTATCTAGACTTAGACTTACTATAGACTCTTGATAATTTGATTGGACTGTTGCTGAACGGTGACACAGGTGACACAGAGTTATGTTGCGCTGGATACGAGGTACATTGACTGTAAGTCAGCTCTACCCTACGAAGAAAAGCCAAACAACCCACTCATGCTATTGTTGGTAGTGTTGAGGCCGAATCGGGTTCATGCTCGGGATGGACCATTGTTCTATTCTTCGAAGTGGTTTAATCTCTATCTCCCCTATCGTGAGGTTGATACCTCATTTCACTTGAGTTGTCCATTCCTATTGGCATGTAGACAGGTTTATTGTTGGCAAAAATCCGCCGGAGTTTGAGATACGTGTATAAATATGTCGGGTGTCTTCTGCTATGCCCCATCCTACAGTCATGGGCTTCACACAAACTTCTACTCGCCCCTATTTGATGGGCGACCTCACTGTGAGTCTTTCCTTATATCAGTCTTCTTCTCCTGATGTTTAAGTTCAATCTTGTGGCAGGCAGACTCTCGACCTCAAATGCTTCAAGAGCGTTCGAAACGCAAATCAGACTTAGATACACCGGATGAATCACTCCCTCCCAGATTCAAGCGGCGTACCCTCGCCCGATCCTATGCGATATCTGACCTCGCAGTGAGTCTTGTCTTATATCAGTCAGTCTTCTGATGTTTAGGCTTAATTTTGTTACAGGCAGACTCCCAACCTCCGAAACGCAAACCAGACTCAGATTCACCAGATGATTCCCTCCCTCCCAGTTTCAAGCGGTGTACCCTTACCCGATCCTATGTGATTTCTGACCTCGCAGTAAGTCTTTCCTTATTTCAGTCTTCTGCCGACGTTTTAAGTTTAATTTCGTTACAGGCAGACTCCCGACCTAAATTGCTTCAAAGCTCAAAACGCAAACCAGACTCAGATTCACCAGATGATTCCTTCCCTCCCAGTTTCAAGCAGCGTACCCTCGCCCGTTCGATTGACATCACCGTGAGTCTTGCCTTCCCATATCAGTCTTCTGCCGACTTTTAAGTTGAATTTCGTTACAGGGAGACTCCCGACCTAAATTGCTTCAAGAGTGTTTGAAACACAAATCAGGCTTAGGCGCATGAGATGTTATTCCCTCTTCCAGTTTCAAGTGTACTGTCACCCGCCCCAGTGCGATTTCTAACCACGCAGTAAGTCTTTCCTTACATCAGTCTTCCACCCATGCTTTATCTTCGTCATCAGGTTCAGACAAGACCTGCAGTGTACTACAGTGCAGACCCTGTCCCCCTGCACGTAAGCCAGCCCTATCGCTGCCCTTTTTTTCTATTGACCCTGCCTTAGGTCTCCCTTCCAGCTGACTTCGCTGGATGCGGCACACCGACTTCATGTTGGCCCTTTCCAAATGAGCTGATATTGATGATCTTCGAACAACTGCCTGTTATATTTTCATTCCATGGGCCTCCACGTCGAGCAGATGTGGCTGCGAGTCAATGCCCAAGGCTGCGTGGCCCTCCCATTGTATGCTCGGACGGCTTTCTTCTGTGTTCCTCGGTTTCTGCAATGTGATTTCCTTGATATAGGTGACCGTAACTTGACAGCCCTCAAGGTCTTCTTGGAGGCGTTGAGAGGTAGTAAGCCAATCTCATCGGTTATATGCTTTGACGCACCCCCAGGAGTCGATCTGGCGTCTCTTTTCCACCTCATCAAGGACCTTGGTTGCTCTAGTTTTCGATATTCAAGCATCCAAGCAGAGTACCCTTGTACAATGGTAGCCAATCTTGTTCCCCAATCAGACCCAGGCGAAGTGTGTAATCTCCGGAGATTATCAGTAGACTCGCCCACTTTTTTCTCCGCAAATGTTGCCCAGCTCACCCTCGCAACCTTACAGAATTCCCCAATCACCGATCTCTCACTCACCCATGTAGCCTTGAGTGGCATCCAGTGGGCCACACTGCTGCAAAACGTTCACCTTCCGCTACTTCATATGTTGAGCGTCGACGTAGAGTGTCCCACCGCTGCTCTAGGTGATTTTCTGGTGCGGCATCTGAATATTGGCCAAGTCTGGATTCTGCCGGGACATACTCCTTCACTGCTTCCCAATGATTCCTCGCATCAGATGCATGACATCCCTGATTGCTGCCTACAAAACTTAGGCGTTCTTGGTGGTCCACCTTGGTACCTTCTTGCCCTCCTAGAAAAAGTTCATCCAGCGCACTCCATCCGACACCTGAGCGTACGGTTTGAGGAAGATTCGACCACGTTCAATCCTAATTACTTGTCCGCCATTCTGGACATTACTCGACACTTTACCGTCATCCAGGAGCTGCAGTTAAACTTCTATGGTGTTGCTCATCCCTCCGACCACTTTGACGTCCTGGTTGATGAATGCCGCACTGTGCCTGTAAAAAATCTAGCGATTTCTACGCATTGCGGAGATGATATCTTTGTGAGTTCCCCTTGATACCAAGCATCATTAGTACTAACTGTTGTGCAAGCTTCACTGTCGTCCTTGGCTTGACACCGCCTTCCACAGGCTGCAAAATGTTGAGCTTCAGACTCGAAACACTGCTCTATCTGAGAAGTTGAAAACGACCTTTTGTTGTCCGGACATCTTTACATTGAAGATCTGCGGTCATTGATTGTCATATTGCAATACACTACTGTAGTTATATTACAATACATCTCCTCTTCATGTATCCTCCTCTTTATTTAGTGGACTCGAATTTTCAATAGATGTGTCTTCCCATGTATATTTTCTTTTATTGTTGGCCTTTTCCTTTGCTCATTGTTCTTTCCAACGCCTGCCATTTATGGTAAATCATGGTGGTATCAACACGTGGGAATGCCCACAGTCCGAAATGGGATTCACTACAAAATGGCTCATCCCAGTACAACACCTCTACTTCACTACTTTCTACTCGTGCTACGTACTTAAAAGTCATAAAAGATAACCCCCGATTAGAAGCTCAGAACCGAATTTGTTATCGATGCCGAAACGATCTTCAACGTCTGAAATCGGTTCGGAAAAGCTTAGAAAACGAGTCAAAGTGCGTCAAGATATTGTATTGTATCTGCCCATGTCGCTAACTTATGTCGAAGATGTATCTCGACCTCGCTGCTGAATCTAGCGGTGAGCAGGATGATACGGAGGACGATCAGGATGATACAGGTGAGTTGTTTCGTTAGTACTGGCTATCTATATTTCACGTATTTCATCTCCTTACATAGACGAGTCATTCCTTGACGATGATCTCGCGTTACCGACACCATTGCAAGATGAGGCAGCATGGAACATTATGGAAGAGTACCTCACCACTAACATGACATTCCCTCAAATGGAGGCAAAGCTTACATCGCACCTGGGTGTTCGATATATCGAAGCAGATTGGGCGGAGGCAAGGAATGCGTTATTCTCAGCCGACGAAGACACTGCATCAGCCTTGGACAATCTTCGCGCCGTCAAGACTCGGCACATGTCGTCGCTTGCAAGAATTTCAGGGCCCTCGAGTAGGTCACAGCTCCAGCCTGGATGTGCTTGGATGGACAAGATGGACATCCTCGGTGAAAAATTTGCCCCAGTCTACACAAACGAGTTCACACGTGGTGTTTTAAATCAATTTGTCGGTGGTGAAATCACCTCCAGCTACGCGTACGACCGTTTGGAGGTAGAATTTAGCGATGACCCAAAGTCATATGCTCATTGGGAGTCTGTGTTGGATGACATCACAGCAGCCAACTCTCTTGACGAGAAGCGTGAAATATTCCGGAAGTGGACATCTGACGCACTGTTTGAACCCACAACAAACCCAGTGCGATTGGAGGACTCTGATGGAGGAGTATTCAACCAACCGGCATTAAGTCTGCAGGGCGCCGGGGTGGCACCAGCGTCCGCCCTCCCAACATGGCTTATCACTGTTCCCTGTGAGTATAACTTGTGGGCATGTCGTATAATCATCTTAACCGAATTTCCAGCCTCGAAAACGTCTTATTTAGCAACATATTTGAAAGCCAAGGGGTTCCAGGTTTTCATGCATTCAACCCTTCCAGGCCGTCGGTGCGTCAAGGCCGAAAACACTCTGATCATCAGAGAAGCTTGGCCTTCCTCACACGCCAATTGTTTTTTCGATGTCGTCTTTCTCACCACAGCAGCAGATCAATCCTCCAGCGGTTCCGACATAACAATTCCTGGCTGGTATCGCCCCACCTGTGGGCGTTATTGGTCCGATGTGGGATATGGGCATTTGTATGATCCCGAATCCGATACTATGACATTACTGGTTCCCTCAAGGTCACTCCACGTCCTGAAGGGCGATATTGGGAAGGACCCCAGTATCCCACGCCTGTTCAAACCCCCCTGTGGCGAGACCATCTATGAGCATGGAGGACACACATACATCCATGGCCTACTGTCGTTGAAACTCCGGAGGACCGCAGTTGTTGGGATCACCATTCCCACCCCACAGGACATCCTGATTCACAAGGAGTCGGGTTGTGATCCTGCATTTGTGCAATCCACTTTGCATGCATACGCCTCACAGCACTGGATGCAAGATGACTTGGTACAAGTTACAGCGGGGGAACTGCGTAATTGCCTGGGGAAGATTTTTTGTGTTGACATGACGACCCGTTCAGCATCGGTTTACATGGAGGAATCGCATGTAGAAAAGATCTCTTCGACACCGCTCATGTTCCCCATCGCCAATCTGAAGAGGAAAGTTCGTGTGGGAGACAATGTTTGTGTGCTCGCAAATAGCATAGAGGCCCTCAGAGGAAAAACGGGAATAGTTGTTGAAGTCGGCATCGAAGACTACGACTCCGTTGTGGTGTACAACCACACCTCCCAGTCTCAAGCAAGTGATTTTATTCATTTCATATCATATTACTGACATTTTTTTCAATCAGTTCACCGTCAGAACTTATTGCTTGGCAATGCACATTACAGAATCCAGCAATTTGAGCCCAGATGACGCATTAGCAGCTCATCATGACACTCCTACGAAAGGCGACTATGTAGTCGTGGTCGACGGAATCTATCATCTTCAATTCGGGGAGATCACTGAGGTCGATCTAGTGACGCAGTCGCTCACGTTCCTCTCGAGTGATTTGGGAAAAATATTGGTTCCGATAAGGGAGACAGCGTTCAATCCCAATCCAACCGCCCTTCGATATACTAAGGAGCGCGGATATGATGTTGTGGCTGGAGATACTGTTCGAGTCGTTAGAGGTGAACGACTCCACCTATCGGGCACGGTACTGCATGTCGATTTGGATAAGAAGATGTTAACCTTCCAAGTCACGCCTTACACAAAGGTTTGTTTCCGTAAATTCTATTGATTCACAATTAATCATATTGAGTATAGTTCACTACCTCGATCACATATGTTGCAAGAATCGGTGGGCGGAGTGACCGAGATCCGATGCAGAGCGTTGTCGGTCAAGAGGTTTTCGTCATCCATGGTCCTATGAAATCCTACAGAGGCACTTTGCACTCGCTCTCCCAGGATACATGCATGGTGACGGTTATTCAGGGTTCAAGACGGGTGTTTCGCCGAGAACATGTCGTCAGGTGAGAGAAATGTTCATCCTGTTCTATTTGATACTCACGCACATGCAGCCGGACAGGAATTCTCCTTACCGGTGTTCGTTTGCCTCTGAATCTGCACGTTGAATTAAACAATTTAATTTGAGTGTCGTTTATCCAAGCCCCACATGTCTCGCCCCCTCGAACTCCCCGTCATTCACCTCCCCCTGTTGTTTCGCGTCCTGCTGATCCTGTGGTCGGATCATCCTGGGATATGACCGCTGACCAAGTCTTGCTTCACTTGAGTACCGAAGAGTGTACTGCGACTGGTGAGTTTATTCACACATTCTTTACCTCATCTCACTCTATGCAGCCCCTCAAGACTGTTGGACAATCGACAAAGATGACTTGAATGAACCCCAATCGCTTCCTACCAATCCTGGTATGGTCCCATCTTATTTCATTTTCTTTCTGTTCTCATTGATCGCAGCAGACAGTCTCGCTGCAATCTTACACGATCCCCGTATCGTTGAATTGTTTTTTGATTGGCATATGAAGTTCAGAATAGTGAAGACACATGCTGCTGTGTGGTACTCATCATACCTTGATCGCCTCATTGACACGCTCGCCCCGAATCCGTTCATACCCCCTCAAGGACCAGTGAAAGAGGGAGAAATCGCCATCAGGTATTCCTCCCGAACGAGTAATAAGGGGATGAAAGTGGATACGATTCCTCTAGAAGTTCTTGTCCCGGAACCACTGACGGGACCAAATAAGCTATTCACTTTGATACAAGGCGACCATACTGGGACTATTCATACAACAAAGTCTGCTCCGAAAAAATCCACGGAGATAATCACGATGGAAGGGGAGAAATTCGCTCGCGCTGATGCATGTATAGTTATCAAAAGGGATGGATAGATAAAAGGGACGGATAATACAAATACCACTCTACCATAATGATCCACAGGGGCATGTATAGTCAAAAGGGATGGATAAAAGGGATAGATACAAGAGACAAATAATACAAATACCACTATACCATAATGATTCACAGGGACGCGAAACACTCAGTGTTCTGAGTCATGACCAAGTTAATTAAAATATTCTAAATGATCCCAAATTGCCAATTATGTAAACCACACTGTATCCGTTCCCTCCAAACCCGTCGGCATACAACTGTGGTGCTACTCAATATGAATGCTCTCTGAACAATATTCTAACGGTGCCTTGCTTAATGGCGTATCGGCTGTTCTCCTCGTTGTATCCTATATAGTGCAACCTCACTTGTCATATGTTTAAACCTCTGAATACCCATTTTGCATTACTCCCGTCTGAGTTCTAATTTCCTGTTCACTACTTAGGGGCTCGAAACCTTATTACGTATACTTTCCTTTATTTTCAAACCTCTATCGTGTTGTTGGCATCGGATATCGAGTACTCAAGCATCTGAGTCGGTATTCAATGTAGGCCTAAATTAATATTAATGCTTGCTAATATAATCATAGGTTTTATTTTAACGTTCTAGCTTTGTTAATCCGAGAGTGGCAACATGTTGCGAAAGCGGTGGATTCCAATGCACGAGTCAATTCAAGATGCTATGCGGGCTGACTGACATTACGCGCACAGCACTGTGTCCATGATGTTATTCTGCAGTTCTGCAGTGCCGCAGTGTTGCTCGAATTCTGCACTGCGGCAGTGTTGAATAGTCACTGGCACTTAATCTTGGCAATATCCGACTGAATTCCCATTCACTACATAACCCTCTTGTAACATAATTCCTGAACTCTTTCCTTTCCTCACGCGTCATCAATTCATCTCCGGTCCCAGACTGTACATACTGTGTAAATTTAATGTATACCATGACCTCCATACCCACGCTGCTTCTGCCAGCCGGCTCCACAGAGCCAAGCCCACCCCAGGACACCCATCAGACACCACAGCCTACCACACCGGACGCTCAGCCAACTTTCCTTGACACTCCCATCAAGCGAGGCTCCTCCACGATGTTCACTCACACAACCAACGCACGTTATCGGATACAGACCGTCAATGCTATGGGCAAGGAGATGCAAGGTTTCTTCATTGGCCCAATGTCACCCGAGGAATTTCTCCAGGAGTTCCTACCGGTGACCAATATGCCAGACAATACCTTCACTTCTGGCACATTTGAAAGCACAATCTCTGCTAGAGATGAGGTGCATGCTTATGAACCATTTGTGAGTGCCTTCTCGTTTTTCATATAACCGCCACACTCTGACTCTGACGTGCAGATTAACACCATGAAAACTTTTGCACCTGATTTATCATTTGTCAACTGTCACCTCTATGCAGACACAAATAATTGCAAAAAATTCCCATTCCAAATCAAGCCGGACGTTTGCGTATATTCTGATGGAACGTTGGCGGGATGCAATATATCAACTGCCGAAGTTGTCATCAAATTCAAGTGGTCTCGACATAACGACCCATTTTGTGAACGTACCGACGGAACTTCCTTTTTGTCTCAGACCGACAAGGGCATGGATACCTTGGGACAAATCACATCCTACACGGCAGCTCAACTTACCGCTCAATACCGCACCCACGCATTCTCTGTCATAATTATAGAAGATCAAGCACGTATCATTAGATGGGATAGGGAGGGAGCTGTCGTCACTTCTCCTATACATTATAACACTAAGCCACACTTGGCCGATTTTTTCTATCGTTTCGCAAAAGCATCACCTGAATTGCGCGGAGTTGATACGTCTGTAACGCCCGCTAGTGACGAGGAGAGTGACTGTGCTAGGCAAAGGCTCGACCTTGACGCCAACACACGCATGCTCAAAGTTCAGGTTCCTGCCAAGGACTCTAGCCTCGTTACATTGATATTCCCTGCACCTATTGCAACCGATCTTCTGCCTGTTGGCCGTGGTACGTGAACATGTCCTGCATACGATCCCGACAAGGACAGGGTCGTCATGTTCAAGGACTCTTGGCGGGTGTTGTTACCCCACATCCTACCAGAAGGAGAAACTTACAAACGATTGAAGGAAGCCAAAGTTGTCAATGTCACAACGTGTATTGCATGCCATGATGTACCCTCCATTCCTCAAAAACTCCCGCAGAGCTTCAAGTTTGCAGGCATGAGTTGGGCCTCTCCCCTCGACACACTCACTCCACACTCTCATTACCGCCTGGTTCTCGATATTGTAGGCGAGGCGTTGATAAACTTTCCGAGCTCTCATTGGCTTGTCGAAGCGGTTTGGGACGCACTGCTTGGTACGTACTTTGCAACCTGACATGACGCATACGTATTCATTCCAATCAAACGCAGCCCACAAGGATGCATATGAAAAAGCAGGCGTGTTACACAGAGACCTCAGTATTGGCAACATTGTCATTTACTTTGGCAAGGGCATTCTCATTGATTGGGACTTAGCAAAGTTGATCTCCATGAAGGGTCATCGACAAGTAACCCGCACGGTATGCTCTTGCCATGCCCACGTTATATATTTTATACTAATTTTCCCTTACTAAGGGGACCTGGCAATTCATGTCAGCCTACCTGGTTCAAAACCAATTTGCCCCATATGTCGTCGAGGACGACCTTGAGTCTAGTCTCTATGTTGTCCTGTGGGCGGCTCTAAAGTTCTCAAGGACCCACATGACCGACGCCTGACGGACACTTCTCGTGAAGGAGATCTTCGAAACCGAGGAGGTGGAGAAAATCGGTTCATCCATGAAACAACATTTTCTCATCAGGAGAACTGACCTTGCCAGTAGTCCTGTGTTTGTGGACCGCAAACCGCTCGATGACCTCATCATTGCACTTGCTGAGCTCTTCTCGCATCGGTACTCTGTGGTCTCCGCTGCGGCTTGGAACGTATATGAGCTGTATCGACAGAAGGACATAGGGTCACTTAGCCCTGGTACACAGCAGCTCATAAAACTCAATCCTGCTTACACGAAGATGGAGGGTATGCAGGATCTGACGTCACACGACCACGTCATATCCATTTACAATCATCACCTTGGGTTAGATGGCTGGCCGTCTGATGACAAGGCCGTTCCGCAAGTTCTTCTGAATGGTAAGAATCTACCACGGCAGATCTACACAAAGTCGGAAATACCGACGTCCTCGCGAGTAGTAGTCACCCCGATGGGCAAGAGACGTAGGCTCAATCCAAATGCCGTTGATAATCTTGATGAGACCACAGATACTGTTCCACTCGAAGAGGATTCTCTGCTTGGCTTGGCTCATCCGAACGCTGTTACAGCCATTGAAGGCCAGCTCAGCTCAATGACTGACCTCGATCATTTGACGTCGCTTCACTGACATCCCCATTACGATACGTCTTTGGATATCCACTTGTTACAATGTCATTTGTACGTGCGTTCTAGTGTTACAATCATATCTCTACGTGAATGAATTATGCAGCGCTCTGTTTGGTTGAATGACATATTGTGTGTTGCTCAAGCACTGTGATCTACTGTATACACCCCCCAAGTATGTAGAGTCTGTGTAAGTAATCCAACGAGATCATAGCCAGCATGGTAGCGAGACATAAGAAAGTGACAGAAAGTGCGATTGCTGTTGCTTGAGCCAGCTGGGAATATGGCTGTGGCAACATGTAACCACCAGCATTGGAGGAGTGAACCTAACGACTGACCTTTCTTAAAGTGGCGGACTTTCGCAGTTGGCTGGATTGCTGTTCACGAAGGATTTGACGCGAACCCAAGGATAAATTTTTCTGTATATATGTGAGTGGGTGCTAACACTTGAACCAAAGGAATGCCTCAACACGACGATAAACCATTGTGAATTTGCAGCGAGACAGTAAGATAGGTGAGCGGGTACGCCTGATTTTAAAGTCATTATGTTAGGGACCTATAAAGTCAATACAATAAAAAGCCTGCATTAGTTACAAGACATTATATTCTATATTCTATTCATAACGAGAATGATAAAAGAAACAACAAGATTCGAACAATGAACTCATATATAGCCGAAGCCGAAGCCGCTTTATCATGCATTCAACCACTTCGGATATCTCCGGCGGAGTCTGATTCTCCCCATTCACTACTTATGCACCGCAACCTTGTTTCCGTCTCTGTTTCTTCCTATAACAATACAATCAAGTACCTTTAATTTATGTAGTTTGTGGCACTTGTACACAGTAATATACTCTAGGCAAACTGTTGTTACCAGGTACTGGTCTAGATTCCTATGCCCATTTGACAAAGGATAAGATTTAAAGTACAAGTCCTATTGCATATACGCATTGCATATATGATGTAGCGATCACGCATGATACGGTAAGCTCCTTTTTACCCGTCCAATTGTTTGTCTAACGGCGTCATGCCCAAAGCGTCACCTAGATGGCAGTACTGTCGCCACTTCAAGCAGCTCACCATACACTGCGAGTTCCCCCCTGAACGCACTTGCACCCCTCCACCTTTGACACAACACAAAGTGTTTTCTCGTGATGCAGACTCGGCACCGGAAGAAATTCTATTGGCGGCTCAGTCACCCGTCCCCGACCTTCTGCCGTTGGGGATTCCGAAACCGCGAGGAGAGGTCACCCGTATCAGTTGGGGAGGATACAATTTACAGTTGACACTGGGCTGGCCTGTTGCAGATTATGACGAAACTCGGGTGAGAGTCCTTGTACCCGTAACAATTATTTATTTATTTATGTTCCCCCCTGCAGTCTTTCGTTGTACACCTCGCCCATGAATATCTCAACATAAACAAGTCATGGAAAAGGCAAAACCAATCACATTTGCTTGTTGTTTATTCAGAGGTAGGTCTTGATCGGTCGTGTCCACAGTATTCATCTCACTAATTTCCATTAGGCCGTAAAACGTTATCCTATCCTTGATCGTTACGTCAATTGTTGGGTTGTCAGCGATATGCTCCGTATGTTCTTAAAAAATAGTTGTAGTCATGATTCTTAGGCATGTCCGGCGTATATCAATCTATGAAAACATCTGATCAAGTACAATAGCAAGTTCACCAATTTCGGTCAGACAATTAAGTCGGCTCAGTACAATAACTTCGGTCGAATATGCCGTTACGGTAAGCCGATTAATTACTATCACCGATCAACTTTTGACTGGGATACGTAGCAACCGTACAACACAACACTTGGCTGACCATACAGGGGTTCTTGATTGTCGAGTGATTTGCATATTTAACTGCGTAGTTTGTCCATTGTCATTTATCACCTCATGTCTTCTAACAGCAATTCTCCCTTACCTCCCCTGGGGGAAGCTCTAGAAGCTTGGCCTGGCGGCGAAATTGCAACCGCGCTGAGCAAGATAGGCATCGTGATGCGAAAGTGCGTATTTGAAGTTAGTTAAAACATGCTCTTATTCGCGTACTTACATTTATTCCCAGTTTCACGACACGTAGCTCGTCGTCGACTCGAGCCCTGCTATTGCCCGAACACCGAGATCACTTCGAGAGGCCTGCTGAAGGAACCCCAACATACAAGCCTTACATCTCATTTCGCGGACGTGATGCAAATGTGACACCTTATGTCCCAGTACGCGCCAGCCACCCACCTGCGTCGAATCTTGCATCCCAAATCGCCATCTCAACTCCTGCAGAGACACTGTTCCAGTTTTCTAACCTTGCGTCCCCTCCCATACTTCATTCTCCTATCCCTATGTCAACTCCACCTCCTGTTGTCACCACCCCTATTGCCCCAGATCGGCATCTCCCTCTTACCGTCCAATTACCGTCTGAGACACTCGAGCTTGGACGCACAAATCGCAGGAATCGTCGGACATCGACTCGGTCTGATGCAGCGCCCTCCCGCAGGGAAAGTAGTCGTTCAAGAAGTCCCGACATGTCTCATCATACTCCATATCGTTCAAGAAGTCCCTATACAGGTAAGTGTCGTTAATGCATGTCCTTGTCCTTCATATTCATTTTTACAATGTAATCACAGCCACTGAACGGCCCACGTCTTCCATGCCTCTGTCGAACAGTGTGCAACATGACATCACGATGGGCTATCGTGAGCGTCTAGATCCGATGACAGATATGAGTACAAGGGACTCCTCTCCGATTCAATTGCGAGCTATCAGTCCCCCCACTCAGATGATGAATGAGAGTACGGATCCAATTGCCACGTCCAAACCCCGGGACCCCCAAATTCACACTCCCGCACTTGTGAGACCTTTGCCCCTGCCTGCTACCATCGAAGATCAGCTCGACTGGCTTGTTGCACGGCGTTTTCTCAAATTGTCTCAAAATGTGCTGATGCCAGCTCTGAAGAATGCTGTCGATGCCTTGATCCCTTCAATCGTCGAACAGTTATCAGTTGGGTTATCCAATGGTCTGAAAGCCCCTCTTCGTTCCCAGCCTCGTTCTACTCGTAAGGGGGATATTTCTTCAGATACACAATCAAGTGATGATGGTGATGGTCTGAAACCTCACCTTTGGCGCAAGCGCCCCGGCAAGCGAGGCTCAAAGAATCATTTACACATACACCTTTTTTCGTTTCAGAATCAACTTGTGCCAATTAATCACTCAGGTTGCATTCCACAACTATCTACAAGCGAAAGGGCTCCTAAAAGGCAAAAATAACTCGCTGCCCCAATGTCCTCCAACAGAAACTGTTCAAGCCTTCAACAACGACAACGACTGTTGCCCTACCGTGGACAACCTCTCCATTGACTGGAGCGACTCGCTGAAGAAATCGCCTTGGAACACAGAAGTGATAAATCTCCTAGCTGTCGATTTTCGAATGAAGGTCGAGAACGGCATGTACGCTGAAGTGGTTTTAAATGAAGAAACCATGAACCTCGACAATTTGCGCCTATTGTGCATCGATAAACTACGTTGTACTCAAACCGAGTATCGACAGCGCGCACGGCTCAGTAAATTTTCTAATCTTGAAGACAGGAATCGTGCCTCCCATGAATTGTCAGCACGAAGCGAGCGAAGGCAATGCCTAGATAGGTCTAATACTCGAAAACATGGGGTAGGTTCCCTTCCCATTATAGTATCTAATCACTTAATTTGTTTTGTAGACACTCCAGAGACGTCGAAAAATAGTAGAACAAAATCGCCACTGTAATCCGGATACATGGGACACAATCATGCTCATCGTTAACCGATTAGATCTTGATGGTATGAGTGGGGATGAAACCGATACCCCACTCGGGGTGATACCGAAGGTTATGAGGCGAGTTGGCCTTCCCTGGCTCAGTCCTGACATTACTCGGTTATTGCATGCCGTGGAGTCCTTCACGCCAGCTACTTACGAAGAAAATATGACTGTCCCTATTGGGAACTCCTCCCTTCCACGCATCTTGGAGCAGAAATGCACAGCTCACAATTCTATTGCAATTCAGAAGCTTCCGCGCAACTGGTATGATGACGACTGGTATAAAGCCAATTCGAGTAGTGCTCGCGCATTCCTGGGGGCTCGCAAGCTATATAACATCCCACATTTGGAGCCCTATCACTCTCACTCATAAGTTTGTCCTTCCTATCTCCTATCTGACGTCTACCTGACGTGGGCGTCATAGGTCCACTCATACATATTCCTTAAATGTAAACTTGTCACATTCTTAGGGCTTCGTAAACCTATACACTCGACATTTACAACATGTACTATCAGGTCTACAATCATTTTACAATATCCCCAAACTAGCGCAACTTAGGTCTCCCTTCCAGCTGACTTCACTGGATGCGGTGCACTGACTTCATGTTGGCCCTTCCATTGTATGCTCGGACGGCTTTCTTATGTGTTCCTCGGTTTCTGCAATGTGATTTCCTTGGTATAGGTGACCGTAACTTGACAGCCCTCAAGGTCTTCTTGGAGGCGTTGAGAGGTAGTAAGCCAATCTCATCGGTTATATGCTTTGATGCACCCCCAGGAGTTGATCTGGCGTCTCTTTTCCACCTCATCAAGGACCTTGATTGCTCTAGTCTTCGATATTCAAGCATCCAAGCAGAGCGCCCTTGTACAATGGTAGCCAATCTTGTTCCCCACTGCTGCAAAACGTTCACCTTCCGCTACTTCATATGTTGAGCGTCGACGTAGAGTGTCCCACCGCTGCTCTAGGTGATTTTCTGGATGTCAGCTGCTTTGTTGAGAACATCAGGTGCGCCAGGTTTCAATTCAGTGGTAATCGATGATTTACCAGCCGCTCGCAAACTGCAGAAGTGAGGGCACTGGGATATCATTTTTGCATCTGCATATAATAGCAGATGGGTTCCTTCGCTACCTCTACACTTACCATCATCTGCTACCTACACTTACCATCATCTGCCGTCTACCTCTCCACTTACTCTCCACTTACCATCATCCATCATCTCCCGTCTACCTCTATATTTACCATCATCTCCACTTACCATCATCTCCCATCTACCTCTATATTTACCATCATCCCCACTTACCATCATCTCCCGTCTACTCGCTACAGGGAATGCTGAAGCCTGAAGAGAAATCAATCTGGAGTATGGACGTCGATCCGGACATCGTAACCGTTCGTGCAGTTTCTCTTTGCCATGTACTAATGTAATATCGTTCGCAGGATATACCACTAAAGCCGGAGGGATCAGACGGATGTGTGGACGTTGATATGGACGTTGATGCGGACGTCGTAATGGTATCCTCCATCTATACTCTTGTAATCTAATTGAATATTGTTCATGACAGGAAATACTCGAGCCGCTGGAGGAGGGATCAGATGGATGGATGGACGTTGATGCGGACGTCATAATGGTATCCCTCACTTCTACTCTTATGATTTAGTTGAATATCATTTGCTACAGGAAATGCTTGAGCCGGAGGACGAATCAGACTGGTGTATGGACGTCGATGCAGACATCGCCTCAGTTAGCACATCTTACTCTACTCCCCTTCGATTTCTTACTCTTTTTTATTCTTGGCAGGATAACATGCTTATCGACCAGGCAGTGTAAAGTGTCGTTGACAAAGGCAGATGCAGATTTGAACTGTGAGTCTCACGTATGATATACCCAAGTAAAACTGATGTCTAATTGCACCATAGTCCCCTATTCTAGTCGGTTTCATGCTCTATACTTGTCCTGGCATCCTGACTTGTCTATACGGATATCACATACCACACCCCACTCTAATATTTGCCCAATCAGTTTCCATATTACACCCCACTCATTACTTTAATCTCCCTCATGCTAATCAATGCTTTGCAAAAATTTGACTCTTGGTGGGGGAAGCGGTCCACCTTTTGAATTGAGGGAACCTCTCAGAGGGGTACTTAAGGCCACTCATCCATATACGCACCATTTGTAGACATTGTGGAATATTAATAATTGTGATTACGCTATTGAATCGAGGAAGTGGTCCACCTGTTAAATTGAGGGAACCTCTCAGAGGGGTACTCAGAGGGCCACTCGTACATATACTCGACATATCTACAAATTGTAAACAAATTGGTTGCTTTGGCAGATGATGATAATCTTCTTAATTTGTTTTCAGGTGTATCAGTCAGACAGACCTTAGGTCTGATACGTGATTTGATGCTCCATTTGGCCTTGAATATGTCACGTGAAATGTGCATGAACAATTGTAACCTTGGAGGCGTCTTAATATCTGTAACTAAATTTTGGAAATTAAGTCAATATGCAATATATGCAGATTGTGAAACAAATTCTCCCTGTGTTCGCCAAACTTAGTCTGAATTTAATTGATAGAATTTGATGCTCATTCATATTTGAGATTTTATTCAGAAACTGTCCATCATATCTGCACAATATAAATAGGTTGATATATGCATAATTTTTCTCAAGATATGCACCGCATCTGTTTACAGAACTTTTCCTGCCGTGTCTCAGGTGTCAGTGCTCGGTGCCCGGTGCTCGGTACTCGATATTGTAGACCGTGGGAACTTTTTCGATGAAAACCAAAGTTGTAGCCCTTGTCTAGGGGAGTCTATCCATAGTCTCATGACATCAATAGGTTAAGATCCTAGTAAGATATAAGCAAAATACTTGCAAATGGAGTGTTCAAGAAAGCACTTTGACCATGGGAACTTTTTAGATAAATATCTGCCCGGTGCCTGGTGCTCAGTGCTCAGTTGAGTACCAAGATATTCAGCATTGAGTATCAAGTACTGGGAACTGAGTACTAAGTACCGAGTACCGAGTATTCAGTGCTCGGTGCTTGGTACTCAGTGCCCGGTGCCTGGTGCCCGGTGCTCGGGACTCGATATTGTAGACCGTGGGAACTTTTTCGATGAAAACCAAAGTTGTAGCCCTTGTCTAGGGGAGTCTATCCATGGTCTCACAACATCAATAGGTTAAGATCCGAGTTGGTACTCGGTACTTGGTGATTTGTGTGTATCATCTTACATTTGTATTTCTGTACACATTTCACCGAGTACCAAGTACCGAATCTCGGGTGTCGGGTGTCAGTACTCAGTACTTGGTACTCGGGTGTCGGGTGTCGGTACTTGACTCGAAACTCAAAACTCAAAACTCAAAACTTGAATCTTGAAACTCGAAACTCGCATAAATCTGAGTTTCGAATCCCGAGACTCGAATCACTGAGTACCGAGTACTGAATCTCGGGTGTTGGTACTTGGTACTTGGTACTTGGTACTAGGTACTGGGGTGTTGGGTGTCGGTACTCGACTCGAAACTCGACACTCGAATCTTGAATCTTGAAACTCGAAAGTCGTATAAATCTGAGTTTTGACTCCTGAGACTCGAATCACCAAGTACCGAGTACTGACACCCGAGATTTGGTACTCGGTACTCGGGTGTTGGGTGTCGGTACTCAACTTGAAACTCGTAAAAATGTATAAGTTTCCAGTTGAGGTTTGAATTTCAAGTTGAGTCTCTCTCGAGTCTCCAGTCTGGGTGTTCGGGGCTCTGGTTTCAGGTTTCAGGGTTCAGTACTCGGTACTCGTTACTTGGTGAATGTCAGACATGGTGTATTCAGGCTTTCTGGTATCTATCTACTCGACGAAGATGTTTCGATTGACGAGCACTGTGGTGAAACGTGACTGTGATCTTATTAGTATCACTCGTCGCTGAGTCTGAGTTGACACGAGGCAGCTCTCTGGTTCTCTTTCAGCGCTTTTGTGGATATAGTATACCAATACCTAGGCCTATCTGTCTGTATGATATGTATCTGGGCCCACCCATCTGTCTAATATTACCCGACGTCGGCCCACCCGTCTAGGTAAAATTCCCAACTTCGGCCCACCCATCTATGTAATATTTCCCTACATCGGCCCACCCATTTATGTAATAAATAATTCACCTCACCCTCGGCCCACCCGTCTATATAATAAATATTTCACCTCACCCTCGGCCCACACATCTATCTAATATACCCCTACGTCGGCCCACCCGTCTATGTAATAAATAATTCGCCTCACCCTTGGCCCACCCGTCTACCTAATAATACCCCATGTCGGCCCACCTGTCTATCTAATATTTCCCTACATCGGCCCACCCATCTATGTAATAAATATTCCACCGCTCCCTCGGCCCATCCGTCTACAAAATAATACTAATACATTGGCCCACCCATCTATATAATAATATTTGCTATACATCTCTCCTCAGGTCTATAATATATGTCAATCCTACTCTACATATTACCCACATGGGCCCACCCATCTCCATAATAATATTTCTCCCGGCCCATCCGCCATTGTCAATGATATATATAACATCAGCATAGATGGGCCCACCCGTCAACATCAGAAATAATATTTCTCCCGGCCCACCTGTCAACATTGGGAATATACATAACATCGGCCCATAATCCGCTGGCCCGTATTACACGGGATATTATGTAGGTCGGGTGACCCATATAGTACGGGATTTGTCACTGAAGGGGCTCATATTATATAGACCGGTGGGCCGGAGGAGCAGTTTATTATATATGATATAGATGGGTGGGCTGGCATAGGGTATATTACATAGACGGGTGGGCCGAGGTAGTAGTATATTGTGTAGATGGGTGGGCTGACTTAGGGGTATATCATGTAGACGGGTGGGCTGAGGTAATTGTTATCATATAAACGGGTGGGCCAAGAGAGCAATTTATTAGATATTATATAGACAGGTGGGCCAAGGTAGTTGGATATCACATATACGGGTGGGCCCAGATATGTATCATATAGACGTATGGGCTGAGGTGGTAGTATATTATATAGACGTATGGGCCGAGGTAGTAGTATATTATATAGACAGGTGGGCCGAGATGGTTGATATCATATACATGGGTGGGCCCAGAAGAATGAGTGTCATAAACATCAGTGGGCTGAGATAGTTGGATAACATATTAATCAGTGTGCTGATGTAGGCACCAGTACATACCCACTGTATGAGTGCATACACCTATCATCGACCACTGAAATGAGAAACACGAACGCCTGAATACAACATTTCGTAAATTAGACAAATCACCAAGTACCTAATACCAAGTACCAAGTTCCGGGTAGCTAATACTGATGTCTGGGTAACTGACACCGACGTCCGGGTAACATCCATCGACATCCAGGTAACTGATATCGAGTTCCGGGCATCAAGTACCAAGTTCTGGGTAACTCATACCAACATCCGGGTAACTGATATCGAGTTCCGGGTATTTTGTAAATTGGACAAATGACCAAGTATCGAGTTCCGAGTTCTGGGCATTGAGTGCGAAGGACTGAGTTCTGAGTTCCGGGCATTGAGTTCCAAGGTCTGGGCACCAAGTTCTGGGCATTGAGCACCGAAATACAACTCAGTGCCTGGAACTCGGAGCTCGATGCCCAGACCTCGGAACTCGGCACTTGGTGATTTGTTCTTGATGAAGTTTCAGAGGGAAAACAGGCAGTTGAACGGCCATGTAAAACTTTGTTGATTTGTTTGGCTTTGTTTGGCGATGGTTCAACTTTCGGAAATTGCCAGACTTCAGTTGAACTTCAAGTATACAATTAATTATCGGTACTTCCATCCCTCACAAGATGAATTCACATCCAACAGTCAGATTTAATGATCCTCTGGCGACTGAGTATTATTCAATGGACATAGATGATTCAACACAGTCCCGGACATCAACAGGTAAGATCTATTTGTACTATCCCTTATCTATGTTTTTATCTTACATGCCTTAGATGATTTATACCTTGGGCCGGATGATGAAATAGAAGATGGTTCCGTGTCGTTCAGTGGTCCGGGCGTGTTGGCTGCAATCCCCGGTACATTTATCACTTGGATATTACCATGCATGCTCACTAAACTCGTACAGATCAATTACCTCCGGCTCAATACGATCAACTGGTGTAGGGAGTATCCCTACGCTAGGCTCGTATCCACCACTTTTCCGGGATGACAGGCGGATACCTTCGGATCTCCCCCTATAGCACGTGCATCCGTCGCATCCGTCCTGTCCACGTCCATTCTACCTCATTGGTACGTACTCACATGCATTTTCTTGTTACTGACTGAACACAGACATATCCTCTCACACTCCAGTATTTTTCGGATAGCTTATGGCACGGTCTAGACTCGCTACCTATATATCTATGTTCCTTGAAAATACTGTACCCTATAAGCATGGAGGGTTTCAAAAAATACTGACTTCATGTAACTTCCTCCCACTTTTCCTGCACCTTACCAGAAGGTCACTTTGACTTATACCCACCATCCATCCAACCTTTAATGAACTTCCTTTGACTTTGATTCACATCCCATCCCATCCGCAAGTGCCATCCACTCCATCCGACGAATCCATACGTTTCGCATCCTATCCACTTCATCCGCTTTTGCGGATCTTTCATCCTGTAGGGTCGTTTTAGACAGAGACTAGTATTCCCCAGTAGCAATTCCCTTAAGGGTCGAATGCACTTGTTCCCAAGCGAGGCAGCAGGCAGCAAAGACCCAACTGTGTAGTAGATCGATTTCTCTCTGCTGCACTTGTTGTACCCACACCGGTTCAGTACATCGACCCGGACTTGTACCTTGGGCCTGATGAGGATCTGATTGATTGTGATGATGAGCCAGGCTCTGTCTATGCATGGTGTGAGTCTCCAGTTGCATCTGAAGTTTCAATGTCATGTAAATAAATTCAACACATTTTTCGATCGAAACTTAATTTATCTTGCAAGTGAATGAGAGACCCACCAAATGCGATCCAGCACATCCAGAGGTCACAAATGAATATTTGCATGTGATGGTTCGTGAGTTCCAGCCAATAGGGTCATTCGAACACTCCGGATGTGAGTATCTGGTATACTACTATATCTATCATTTTTCTTGTTTTCATTTCAGTGCAATCCCTTCAAGATAGACTCAGCAGCTACAAACAAGATAATGGAGGTCTTCCGGCCCCTTCCATACCACTACTCATCGAGGCTGAGCGACCATTTTGAATTGCTTGGGCGGATACATCTGACAAGCTCTGGAGGGTTGATGCTGAGCTACAGAGGCTGAGAAGAGCTGAACAGGCAAGCATCGAAATGCTCAAGGTGGTAGATTCCATGATTCATCAGTGTGAAGAACGAAACCAAAACTAAACTTCTGAATTTTCAATACCATCACATGTAAAGTACCAACTCAGTAAAATACTGAATCTTCGATAGCATAGTCACATCACATGTAAATTACTGGAACACAGAAGTGTTACATTACTGCCATGTAGAATAAGTAATGTATCAAGAGTTCTGGGTATCAAGTTCCAGGCATAGAGTACCCAACACCAAATATCACATTCTGGGTATTGAGGTCCAGGCATTGAGGTCTGGGCATCAAGTGCTGAGTTCCGAGTTCCGAGTTCTGGGTAACAAATACTGAGTTCCGTGAATCAAGTACCTGCCCGGACCTTGATGCCTGGATGTCAGTAATCGATACCCAGAACTCGGTATTTGGACCCGGAACTTGGTATTTGGACCCGGAACTCGGTATTTGTTACCCAGAACTCAGTACATGGTGATTTGTTCAAATTACTCGGTGAACCACAGAATCTTTGACCACATTAACATCACATGTAAATTGAATACCGATTGAATAACATTGATAGTGACATATGAGACAATGGTACATGTACGTTACTTATTGCCCCTTGCTCTAGTAACTCTGTCAGATGGTTGTTGCACTGACTTACTCCAAGTTGTTCTTGCCAGTGCCTCAATTGTATCTTTCTTCCCCCGGAAGCTCTTCGGGGCTGGCAGTGGAACTTCATGTTCAACATCGCCAGGGCCCTCAGCCTCACTCTCAAATTTGGTTGATGAATTCTGAGGTCTCCGGATCATCACCCTTTTACTCTTCAGATGAGGAGGTGATTTCTTGGATACAACGGAATCTACCATGTTGCCTTCTTTGTTCCTCCATGCCTTGAACAAGAACGTCGGACCTTCACCTGTCTTCTGCCGAGCATACCAGAAATTGAGCAAGGCAGTGGTATCCCAATTTTGCAACTTGGAAGGCTCCTTCAAGTTTACATCCTCCGGAAGATACTGTCTGGCCACAAAGTCATCCTGACTTTGTATGATGGCACTCCATGGCATGACAGCCTTGTCAATCCCAGAACAGATCCCTGTACCCTACATTAAAGAGATTCTCTTAGGAAGTTACGAAGCCAGACTCACTATAGTGCTTTGTAAGAAAAGCCCTCACTATGGCCTTCTTCTCCTCGAGTTTTGTTTCCGTGATGTCCAGAAGCAACGGCATCCCATCCCTGTCCAATTCCAGATCAAACACCAGTTTCTTCATTCTTTTTTGACCTCCCTTCACCTGTCGCCCTCCATCCCGTGCCTCACCACCTACGATCCTGACGATCAATGAAATCATTCTCGTCTCCACAGTGGGAACACTCACCAAACTGTTCCTGCGCGTACTCCTGCCAAACCGGCTCTATGTCCTCCCAGTCCTTAGTCTTCATGAAGCTGTCCCCATCCCCTAATGCCTCGTTGTCATCGTGCCTATGTGAAATAAGTTGAGACCAAATATCTGCGATGACTAATAAAATTCACTGACATCCTGAACAGCACCTCTCCACGTTCATTCTTCCAAGCTGACAACACAAACACTCTCATCCCGCATTGTCTCCACATCTCGTTTGAAAAGTGCTCCATATATACAGGTCCCTTCTTACGGGCGACTTGCACCTGTGTCTCAGGAGGAGGAAAGTTGTGGGACCATTCTTTGGCGGTTTCTTTCGCCTTCTCCAACTCATCCTCGGACAAATTGGCCATGACCTTCTTCACCACGGCTTGATAATGCTTGAACATGTCTTGACCTCCTGGCTTTGCCCCGAACTTGTCCTCAATCCTCTTTAGCACTTCCTCTCTGTTCTGCTGATAGATCACCTGCCTAGGCGTCCATTTCCTCCCATACTTAATCATGTCCTTCCTTTCCTTCCTTTTCTTGTTGTTGAACAACCAAGTTTCATACATCTAAGAGGCAGAGGAAGAATCAGACATGAAAAATCGAGTTTTTCAACACAACAAGGATGTATCACCTGCTTCCTCTTTTTCCATTGTCCTTGGTCGACCTTAGGAGCAAATAACCTGGCCGCTCGAACTATGGCATTGAAAACTCCCCGTTTCTCGCTCCTTTTTGCAGAAGTCCACTCAGGAAGGTAGTTCTTCAGCTCTGAAATTTCGTTTTCCGTGAGCTTCTGTGACTGTGGTTGACGCGTTCTGTGTCTTCTAGAAGTCAACTGAGTGGAATGACCTGATCTTGCCATGGTGAATAAGATTGCAGAATGGGCTGAGGATAAGCAAAGTGGAAGCAATAATGGTCGCAAGTTCAACTTTGATCAAAGCCTAACAGTTGGTTAATCTACCTATAACGGATGCAACGCCATTCATGGAAATGAATTGGTAATGAGCCAACCAAACTGCATAATATGATGATGGAATAACAATTCGTTTGACCTTCCTGAGCTAATGCTTTCCTTGCAACATTAAAAAATAAAATGAAGATAGGTCGTTGCACCCCATTGCAGAAATCCCACAGGGTAGAAGCAAGGGGCAGCAAAGGTAGGAAGACATGGGTCAAGGTCCCACTTGCCAGCACGAGTCGACATGCCTACAGGTCCATGCCTAACTCTCCCCTGGAATCACCGACACTTGAACCTGTTCAGGCCCCACCTCCTTGGGAAGACTTTCCTGAAGATACTTATGAGCAAGACCAAGGGTCATTTGAGCCCTTGCAACTCCCAAAAACAATGGCAAGTTCATGTAAAATGTTGGAATGTCTTTCGAACAAAAGCTAAGTATTAAAAAATGCAGAGTCAGAATGACTACCTCAGGCAATGGCTGCCAAGGCAGGAATCATATCTCCATCACCTCCTGGATCGAGAAGCTCCACCAGAAGATAGGAGATGCGTCATCTGCGATCAGGATGGGGTCTTCAAATGTCAAGATTGTCTTGGGGAGCCTCTCTATTGCACAGGCTGTTGCCGGAGTCAACATTGTTGCAATCCTTTCCACTGGATCAGTCAATGGAATGGTCAATTCTTCGAGCAAAGTTGTCTGGCTCATGTTGGACTCGTCATATACCTCGGTCATGATGGCAAGCCATGTCCGGTAGTCATGGATAGGTGGGATTTGTTTGACGAAGATGAACAAGAAGACCACTTTGAACCTGAAGATCTACAATCTGTGTTGGGACCCGAGTTCCAGCCCAAGGAAAATACAATGGTCATCGTTGACAAGTCAGGAGTCCATCGCCTCGAGGTTCGATGCTGTGATTGTCCCGATGCCATGAGTCCAGACATTCAAATGTTTCAACATGGCTTTTTCCCTGCATCATTTAACAAGCCAAAGACCGTGTTCACCTTCAGAGTGCTAGATGATTTTCTGTTGGACAACCTCGAATGCGGCACCTCAGCGATGAACTATTACAGCAAGCTTCAGCGAATGTCCTCGAGCATGTTTCCCCACCTCGTTCCGGTAATACCATATCTACATCATCTAAAGCACATTATATTGACAAAGCACGTTGCAAGGACCAATACAGAGAGCTTATGAGAGTCGCTCGACAGTGGAGGCAGTTAAAGTCTATGAAATGGCATGGCTTCGGGCATAGTTCCGACAACCCAAATGCCGGAGATTTCGCATTATTCTGCCCGGCATGTCCTCAGCCCGGGATTAACATATCCTTGTCAGGGGATGAATCACTTGATGAGTGAGTCTCTTTCGTTACCGAATCTATGTCAGCGATATTAAAAACTCCAAGCTGGAAATACACCCGGTCATTTGTGATGGACAGAAATTTCAAAGCCGAACACCTGCATCCCATCAAAAGTATGGCTCTCTGATGGGTTGGGGTTTATGGTGGGAAAGGAAAGGTATCAAAAGCATCTTGAAGAGGCTGCTGACACTGGAAAAATCAGCTGCAACAATCATCAGGGCTGTCAATCAAGCAAATGCAGCTCAGCACAAGCTGGAGTCCACTGGCATCGGGGGAGTAGCCTGTGGCCAACACGGTTGCTTTGTCCCTCACTCGATGGTAGATTTCCAGAAAGGCGAAAGGCAAGCTGGACATGCCATTCAACATTCCTGAGTTGACCATGCATCGTTTGCAGACAAATGAACATGGACTATGCACTTTTTGAGGCTGCCCAGCACAACATGGATGGGATTACAAGGGCTGTCACCTTCTATGACATCAACTGTCAATACAACAAGCACTTGTGTGTTTGGGTGGATCGAGGCCAATTTCTGACAATGGTTCCGGAATTGACCGTCATTCCCGGAATCGGGCTGTGGCACATCCATGGACATCAGGATAGCTGCTATGTCAGATATGCGTCGAATTTCATTGAAGGCATTGGTTGCATTGATGGAGAGATCATGGAGACCCTATGGGCACATCTCAACCTGATTTCTCCTGCTGCTCGGGGAATGTCTTCCCCGCATCGGAAGGAATGTCTTGATTTCCAGATGAACGATTCCAACTTTTGCAAGATGATCCGCATGAAGAGGACCCTTTGCCGGAAATACAAGCAGGTGAAGAATGGCATCGCCGAAAGTGGAAAGGCTTTCGACAGACACAACGAAGCCGCACCGGCCAACTTAAAGACAGACTGGTTAGCAAGTGAGAGGATCGCTCAGTCCAACAGAATACAAGATCCAGCTGCGATGGATATATATGAGATTAATATCAAGAAGGGTGAGATCACTCTGTCTCAATTGAAGTCTGAATTCATTTTGAACCCAGCACTGAGCAAAAAGGAGATAGAGCTTAGACTGCTGCAGGAGGGTAATGCCCGTCATGCAGCACCCTCTCACAGATCTGTGGCAACATGGATATCAATGGGCCTGGCAATTGAAGAGGCTCAAATCACATTGCACATTGAGGTCCAAAGAATAGGAAAAAGAACTACTGAGACTCAGAGATTAGACATCGCCCGGCAACGCGATCATCTACAAGGCCAGATAGATGCATTCACTCAGACTGCTCTGACGCATCTGGGAGAGGGATTTGATGCAGATGATGACCCTGACGATTTGAATATAGACATTCTCGATGATCTCGATGATGACCCGGAGGATTTCATCAGGAAGTCCGATACATGGACAAACTCCCCCGAGCTCACTGTCATCCCATTGCCATCAAACCTCGGGGTATGTCATATACCAGATCTGACTGCTCCGATACTGATATCCGCTCCGCTTTCCAACCCTCTCCGCTCCATCCTATCACAAACCCGCATTCCGCCCTACGCTTCCGCTCAACCGCTCAACTGGTCCCCTTCCATAAACCTCTCCATTCAACTGGATCCTTTTCCCCTTATAGACATACACTTTCCCCTTTGGTACATAGACTCTTACTTCTGGATCACCGGTAAATCCAATTACCGCCTGATCGCTGATCTGACACGTACATACTGATATCCGCTCCAACTTATGTCTTTCCTATGTAAAGTACTTACAAATGATATCCTTGGTACATAGCTTTACTACATAGTTATCCTGGTCACTGCCTCATACATAGAAGTATATAACATATCATGTACTTAGATATTTTCCCTTAGTCTTAATATTACTTGTCTTCTCGCAGTTACCTCTTGTGGGAATTCTCAGTAGGACCTTGCCTCCTCTGGACACAAGTCTCAACTTGTTGTCACCTCCGACCCTCCGACTTAGAGCCATGCTCTAAGTCTTTCCCTTATTACCCCGCCCCTATCAATATCCTCCTATCACCCCTTTTCCTATCCTCTACATTATCCTTCGCCATCTCCGCTCCTATCAAATATCCCCCTGGTTTCTACCCACCCTCCGCATCGTTCCCCACCTTCTTCGCTTTGCTCCTAGTCAGTCCACCGCTAGCAGCTCTTACTTCCCGACCCTCAAAGCGGACCTAAGCGGTCCACTTGTCCTATCGTCGGACAACGTCAGATCCGCTCCAAATTTGGGGCACATACTCAGCTAAGGGCGCAACGCAAGAGCTGAAGCCAAGCCCCAACCCCTCTGCCTCTTGAGCCGGCATGGTACTTAACAGGGTAGATCGATCCAAATGCTGTATGGCAGAGCATCTGATTCTGCTGGAGTTGTTGCTTCGTGAAGGACAGGCCAATGATGCCCTTCACAACCTCCGAATTCACTTGTGCAACAAGGCAATACTTTTCCGAACAACAGTCAGGCAAGCCAAATCTCAAGCATTGAAAACCCGAGCTTGGTCCCAGGTGACGTCAGTGCAGCAGGCGGTGTCCCTCCATGCCAGCATATATACCAAGACAAGGAAGCAAATGATGAAACTTGAGCCAGGCCAAGACCAGCTGGAAAAATATAAACCCCTGCTTCAGGAGCAGCTCAAAATCAGCATGGCCATCAGCGATCCTAATGCCCGAGGTCAGCGAAATGAGTCTCTCGCTTGGTTCTGGTCTATCAAAGTAGATTTGGGGGGTCCGGATTACTTGTGGAATGAGGAATGTGAGTTCAGCTTGCTTGACAAATGCCTGCGATCTGACTGGACCCATGTGAAGTTTACCAAGTTCATTGGCTTCAGGCAAAGGCACTACGGGATCGATGGAAGGAAGAACTGATATTGGTTGAATTGGAGATGGATTGGACGTGTAATTTCTTCTTGTGGAAATCAATGCAATGGGGCGACCAGATGAGGGAATCATTGGTGAAACGCCTTCCGGGTCATGCTTGCTACTCTGGAAGGCAATCCCAAATGTATTCATTACTGGCGCAGGATGCTCAGGCAGCGTTTCAAGACCTGCAGAGCATGTTCATAGATGCCCGAGATGAATGAATTATGAATATGTTCTGCTGATATATGATTTGATCCCAACAATTGAGTCTCGGCAAGGGGCTGGGTCAGCCCATGTCAGAGTTTGAATTATTTTATCAATCCATCAGTGGATCCCATCTGAAAAAACCGTCATTATCATTGCTAGCGTCCTACTCCTGCATTGCCCATGTCTGATTTAAATTCACCTCCTGAATCCACTTTTGCACCTCCTGCATCTACTTCTGCCACTGAGGATTCCGGCAATGAATATAAACCCCCCACAATGAGTCTTGCAGATATTGCAGTTACATTGGCAATGGCTGCATCGCACATTCAAGCCTGTATCAGTCAATATCAGACAGAGGCTGCTGAGAACAATGTTCCTTTGGCTCGGATAATGTACTTTAAAGCTGGAATCCAATGGGAGATCACTGTGAGCCATCAGACAGATGACTGTGGTTGGGAATATGCTGAGATTGCCAACAGACTTTTGTGACACCGATTCTGCAGTACTCAGCTGCAAGGAACATAATTTCGGTTATGCCACCCCCAATCACTCATATTCTTCACTTGTTTCCTCAGCTCACATGGAACGCAGTTCCAGACCACATCTTTTCATCCCACCTATCTGAGTTTCATCTGGTCCGGGATCATGGAGAACCCTCCCGGATCGTATCCTCCTATGATACTCCATGGTGGATGGGGGACACTACAATCCCTAACCAACCATGGCAATGGGATCGGGTAATCGATTCCTGTCACTTTCACTACCAGCATTGGCTAGTAAGCATTATACCCAACTTCCTTGATAGATCACTAATCCGATCTAGAGTGGCGTTGAGGACAATGGTTTCATCCTTCCGGAGCAGCTGGATGGTACCCCGGCTCCATCACTGGTGGGACTGAAGTGGATTAGGGAACGCCTGGTGTCATTCATTCAGGACCATCAGGAGGGCATCCGTGATAAGATGGTGGAGATTGATATGTACACTGACACCCTAGCCTGGTTGAAGAGAGCCAGAGGGGATGATCCCTATTAAATGTTAGTGTATCAAATGTTCATGCCCTTTAGACGTATGTTGTACAGATCTTTGACTCAATGTCGAGTTCCGGGTATCACGTTCTGGGTACCGGGCATCAAGCACCAAGGTTAGGAACTAACATAACTAAGGTCTGGGTGTTGAGTACCCAACACTGAACACCGAACACTGAATACCGAATGCCGAGTATCGATGTCCAGGTATCAAGTTCAGTGTATCAAGTTCTGGGTACCGAGCATCAACCATTGAGTTCCAGGTATTGACCATTGAGGTCCAGGCATCAAGGTCTGGGTGTCGAGTACTGACCACAAAACAGTACCGAGCACCGAGTACTGAGCTCCGGGTTCCGGGTTCTGGGTGTTGAGTACCAACTTCCAGGTGTGCGATCCGGGTGCCGAATGCTGAGTGCCGGGCATTGACTACTGAGCTCTGAGTTCCGGGCCTCGAGTACCGAGTGCTGAGTACCGAAACCCAGCATACACATTTTATAAATTGGACAAATCACTGTACTGAGTACTGAATACCAGCTCCAAGTGCTGATGTCCAGGTGTTGAGTACCAAACACCGTATACCGATTACCGGCTTCCAGGTGTTTAGTGCCGAATGCCGAGTTCCGGGAGTGGAGTACCGAGGTCCAGGTATCAAATGTCGAACATTTGCCTGTTTGATGCTTGATTATTGGCACTCGAACATTGGTAATTGGTATTTGACAGTAGGTACTATCACATGGGTACTAAGCTATGTGCCTGTTCTATCCTTGCCAGGATGGAGTATGTACGCAATCCATCCTAGCCCATCCACATGAGGGAATCCCGGCATAAATATGAACAGAATCCCTCATGTACCATGCCCAAGCAATTCTATGCCCTTCCACTTCATGAACCCCATGTCTTACGATCCTTCCTGAAAACGCGATCATACAGCCAGGCTCATACATGAACTCCAGCTGAAGACTTGGCATACTCATGCGAGCATTCGAATAACTACCCACGGTGGTGAGAATATTGAAGCATTCAGGAATGGATATGTGGTCTCAATGATTGGGGGTTTTCCGATTGGAAATGACGGTGAGGGTGTTAAACATGGATGCCCAGTACTGGAGGGTCTCTGACATCCTCAGAAGATTCTTGCTTTTGGCTGATTGTCCAAGGCTTAAAAAGGCTCGTATCCCAGCCCAGTACTGCTCAGGATGCATCACCCTGAGTGCGGCTGATGCGATGGCTGCCGGCCTGGCAATGGCTTTGAGAATATTCTCAGAGAATGGTCCCTTCAATGAGGCAGATACCGCCGGGTTCGACAGATTCTACTGGATTGGTCAGTGTAACTATTGGAAACCACCATCTCATGAGATCCCACCTCATGCCCCTGTTGAAACCAAGCCGGAGATAGATTGATGCATCCAGGAGATATGCCATCATTTTCCGAGCTTGGTTTGAACCAATCCTGATTAGTCCGCCAACTCCCATCAATCTTTACACTTTTTGCAAGGCTTGGACTGAGCAAATCGGAGGCTGCCAGAATTTCCTTATGGATTTCCCATTTCATATTCCATATCCATCGAGTAACAAAATATATTACCCACCTGGGTGGTTTCCATCAGGGCATCCGGGAGGTACCATGCAATGATGGCGCCAGTAGCATCGAGAACTGTGGTGGGTATGTCGACCAACTTTGTACCTTCATGGCCAGGAGGACACCTCTCAAGCAACCTCGCCTCTCTTTCTTCATTATGTCCAGTGTCCTTCAGGGAGATCATTTTGCTGTATCTCGCAATATCAATCTGCATTTGAACTGTGAAGCAATTTGAATGATCAAATGGACTGTCCGAATCTGCAGGAAGACCCACTGGGATTGTTATATGCCTTTATGAGGCAATCCACCAATCGATCGCAAGCCATCACCAGATCGGTGTCTAGCTTAGGAGAAGGTATGACTGGGTCTCCTCCTGTTTTCTCGGCAATGAATTTCTGTTTGGTATATTCACATGCCTCATGAGTGACTGTCAAGGCCCAAGTGCGCCAGAAGGTTATTTCAATATTGGAGGTGGAAGACACATTCATGATGAATCTTGGGAAATCAGATGGTCAATGCCAGATGTCCACAGACTTTAAAGGTGGTGGAGATAGGGTGGATCAGATAGGGAACCTTGATTTTAGCTTTCAAAGATGGATTATCATTTCATTGCTATACTAATATGTCAATGAAATACCGGATAATGGGAAGGGTGCTAGATATCAAATATTTGAGTGTCGGGACCCAGGACCCGGGACTCCCGGATCCCGGAACTCGGTACATGATGCTTGGTTCATTCAAATTTCGGTAGTTGGAACTTAGCTTTCAAAGACGGATTATCATTCATTGCAATGTTAGTATGTCAATGAAATACCAGATCATTGGAAGGGTGCTAGATATCAAATATTTGAGTGTCGAGACCCGGGTCCCGGAACTCAGTACATGATGCTTGGTTCAGTCAAATTTCGGTAGTTGAAACTGACCTTTCTATGATGGATTATCATTCATTGCAATGTTAGTATGTCAATGAAATACCAGATAATTGGAAGGGTGCTAGATATCAAATATTCGAGTGTCGAGACCCGGGTCCCAGGTCCTGGAACTTGGTACATGATGCTCGGTTCATTAAAATTTCGGTAGTCGGAGCTTGGCACTTGGCACTCAATAGTCCCACCCATCTATATCATATAATAACCTTGGCCCACCCGTCAACATCATATACATCTGGGCCCACCCGTGTATATCATACAACACCCTCGGCTCGGCCCACCCATCAACATGATGTGTCTGGGCCCACCCATGTATATGATAACAATTAAACTCGATGCCCGGAACTCGGTGCCCGGAACTCGGTACTCGGTACTTCATGATTTGTTCAATTTATGAAATACCCGGAAGTCGATATTAGTTACCTGGAACTCGATAGATGTTACCTGGCCTGTGGATATGATATCAACCACCTCAGCCCACCCATCTATATAATATACTACTACCTCAGCCCACACGTCTATATAATATACTACCACCTCGGCCCATATGTCTATATGATATGTATCTGGGCCCACCCATATATGTGATATCCAACTACCTCGGCCCACCCATCTATATAATATCTAATAAATTGCTCTCTCAGCCCACCCGTATATATAATAAATATTTTACCGCTCCCTCGGCCCACCCGTATATATAATAAATATTTCACCACTCCCTTGGCCCACCCATCTACAAAATAATACCAATATGTCGGCCCACCCGTCTACAAAATAATCTTAATTCATCAGCCCACCCGTCTATGTGATAACAAGCACCCTTGACACACCCGGCTATTTGATACACATCTACCTTGGTAAACCCATCTACATAATATCCAACTACCTCGGCCCATCCGTCTATTGAATATTCATGTCTATCAGCCCACTCATCTACTCTACATATTCCCTACATGGGCCCACCCGTCTCCATCGGGAATAATAACACTCCCGGCCCATCCGTCATAGTCGAGGATATATCTACCTTCAGTCCATGGTCCGCTGGCCCGTATCATATGGGATATTATGCACGTCTGTTCACTCATATAATACGGAGATATGTTACTGCAATATGTGGAACTCCCCCTATGTCTGACCACCGGACTTACCCGGACTTCCGTCGGACTTCCCCTCTGCCTCTCGGAAATTAAGGGCACGTACTCGGGTAAGGGGCGCAGTGCATGAGCTGAAGCTGAAGCCCTTTGAGTTACCTTTCCCTTGAGCAC